AAGGAGAAGAGGCAGACAGCTGGGACAAAAGGGAATACTATAAAACTGCCATAGCTTTCTTCTTTATGACCAAGTCAAAGATGTTAGTATCATTAATTTGTGATGTAGTTTCTCATCCAGAGCAGGCTCATGATTCAAGCTAATTGAAAGCTAGCCTAACATCGAAAGGGAAGTCTCAACCTTACCCAACACATGGTCCTGCCAAGCCTCTGTAGCAACACTAGCAGCCACACAGTGAGAGCCTGACCAAAGGGATCCACCTTAAAGCTAACCATGAAAAACAACAAAATAACTCCAAACAACAAAAACCCTCACCTTGTTTTCAGAAGGGTCAAGGAATTAACCCAGCTCCCCACACATGCCAGCACTGACAGACACAAGAATGCTTGGGTAAGAGAAGGCAGGAGGGCCTGCATGTTTCAGCATCATCAGTCCTGCATCAGCTTGACCAGAAACATGAAAGATGAATAGAAAAACATGACAGAAGCATGTCAAAGGTGAAAACTCACCAAAGAGAAAAGCAGTTCTTTACCTGTTTCACTATGTGGTATTTAAATAGAATTCCCAACTACCTCTTTTCCAGGAAGCAGTGAACCCTGTTCATACAGTTACCAAACTACAGCTTAATATTGTCTTCTTTAGCTAAGCTTCCTATAATGATGGAAAAGAATTAAGCATGAATTAATCTGAAAACATATGAACACATGATTAAATGAAATTTAAAAGGATAATGAAATCAAAACCATCAGCAGGACAAGAATTACTACAAATGTAACATTAATGTGTGTTTTGGATGCGACTTCCAAACCAGGGTAACTATCAGCTCTCTAAAGGGGTGGCTCCTGCTCTCTTCATTCAAGTCCTGGCTATGTGCTCCTGCAACATTTTTTGTGTCACACTTGGCAACTGTGTGGGTACAGGATGAGTTGGTTCAGTGAACTGACATGCCGGGAAACTAATCCTCCAATAAAAAACAGAGAAACCTCACAAATAAATGGTTTTCTGCTGGATCAAGTCAATGAACTAATTCATTCTTCACTGAAGAATCACTTGGCCCATTGTAACTAGAAAGGAAAGGAATATGTAGCTGGAACTAGAGGGGATGTGGACTGACCTTTTCAGTAGTAGCCTACCATTACAGCAGTTTAACTGTGTTATTATATATATACACACACAAAGAGTTCTATGCCAAGATTAGCACTTACATAGTGTTTATTGTGCAATTGTATTTCCCAGCATTTCCTTCTTCCCCTACCCAATCTGATATTACTTAACAATAAAATAAAGTATTTAAGATAACTACATTTCACATAAAGTCTTCTACTAATCTTTACAAATTGCTGCTAACTGAAGAAAGCTTTCATTCTGCCTTCCAAGACAGACACTATTCCAGCAGCACATACTCTAATGTTAAAGTCTCTTGTTAATTACAGCTAAATATATGTTTCAATCAAAAAACCAAAACCCTCTTCCCAGCATAAGCAAAATCCAATCAAATCATGCCATTTATGCTCTTAGAAGTTTTAGGAAAGAGAATTCTCTCATGTACTTGAAGTATGTTACAGGACACATATTATGAAATCAGACATTTATGAAGATGAAATAGTCTGCTTTTATTTCTCTGTTGGGGATTTAAACAGCACCGGGCATAACGCTAGCACTTTTTTCCTTGTGTAACTACGTGGGGGTTTTTGTTTGGTTGCTTTTTTAAGAGTAATATTCTGTTTGGAAAATAATCTTTATTTTTATATAATATTTAGCATAATAGCAAGGCTCAGTGGAAACCCTGAGCTCTTTTTAATCAAGACAGGAGCTCCTACTCCCTACTTTTTTTTCTGATCTCACATGAACAGTAATTTCAAATTTTCACTTTAATATCATCATTAGCTTAACCTCCTTCGTGCTTTCCCTACAACTGCTTCCTCTCATAAATTCCTGCATAAAGCGATATGGTTATCAATGAATACTCCATTGTTAGCACATTTTCAAATCCTCACAAGCCTCCAATAAGCCTTCCACCCATTTCCATTTCCACTGTTTCTTCAGATAACCCATTTCCAATTTTCCATTTTAGCTCTTTACATAATAATCTTCAAGAAAATGCCGTCACTGACAAAGATGACTAATCTCTCCAGAGCTCTTATATATTTCCCTGGGTTTCCTCTTTTGCCATGTTCCCAAAACTGTCTTCTTTTTCAAGATAAAACTATTCAAGATTACAAACATAGCTTGGCAAAACAGGAAACAATGGGTTTATGTTTAAACTTGTCATTAATCAGCCAGGCTATTCTTCCATCTTTTCCTTGAGACTTACAATTTGCCTATGTATTTTCAATACCCTGCTGCATTGTTTTATTAAGGGAGATTTCCCTTTCTCCAAAATTGCTGCCTGCAGGAATATTATTATAACCCAATTTTTAGATACGACCATAGAAACACCCTAATCTATTTCTAAATAGATTCTAGAAAGTAGAAAACTACAAATCGATATTTTATTTCAGCTCTACACCTTAGAATTTATTAGTTCATGCTTAATGCTAATTTGACAGCCTGCCTAATCTTACAAGATGCATCACACAAGGCTTCAAATTTTTTCTCTCAGCAATTGATGCTAAGAGTTGTGCTTGTGAATATCTCAAAAGCAATCTAATTATGATCTTTGCTAAGATGCAGGACATAAGAATTTCATTTAATATCTGGCTACATCCTTCAAAACTCTTGGTTTAAGCAAAGTCTATTTCAGAGATACAGAGAATAGCCTAAAAGACACTGAAACAGCAAAGAATAAAGTGCTGAAGATAAGTGAAGGAACAGAGTTGCAGTGAGTGAAAGAAATATGTATCAGGCTGACATAAAACTGATTCCAAGTAATGGGAAAGCATGCCATTGAGCCTGACTTGTCTTGACAGAGCTCAGGAATGAAAGCTTGACCCAAACCATAAACCAGCATAAAAGCAGCTTAAAAAAAAAGGGGGGGGGGGGGGGAAGATTGTTAAGTCTTGACCAAGTCAATCACAGTGACATTCATCAACACTGAAAACTGGCAAAGTCTCCATTAACATATAGTCAACTACTTTTATAAAACACAGACAGGCCCTCAAAACCAAGGGTGTGAGCTGATTAAACGCTTAAAAGAACTTGCATGCAACATTATGAAATTATTCAAACCCAAACAACATACAGAGGAAAACAAAACATATGCCTCATTTTTAGCCCATGACAGAATACACTGGAGTATATCAACGGAAAGGTCTTCTGGGTGGTCTTTTGTGGTCTAGTTTAGAGTTCAAGCATACTCACTGCTAAACTGCACAGAGAAAAGTCCACAAGCAAAGTGCAGGCCCTTAGCCTTTACTCGTGGAGTGCCAAAAACTTGAAATGACCTCTCAGTGGCAATTAAACACTCCCCCAGTTTGGCAAGGCAATCAACTGGAGTATATGACAAATGCAGTACTAATGTGCCGTAGAAATTCTGGATCAACAAAACAGTCTGAAGTGAGTCCTTTAAGTTAGAGTGGTAGGAATTAAAATGATACTCCAAAACATTTGTGGAGGGGCCATTCACATCTTGTTACTTCTTCACATAAGAGATGATTTCTCAGGGATAACTTTATCTTATTTTCTCCTACCAAGTTACTACACCAACTGTTTCAGCAGTTCTATGCACACATATTGCACTTGTAAGTAAAACAAACTCCCAAGATTTCACTGTTGTTGAAGTTACAATCCCACTAATATTTTTTTCTTAACATAAGAGTGTTTAAAGCCCCTTTTTAAACAACAAGGAGTTCCCATAGATCAAGCTCAATTTTTGAAATAGCTAAGCTAAAGTTTATAACACTGTCTTTTTCATTCACCTTCTCCTTACTCTCTTAGCATCATGTGAAAGAAACTAAAGAAAACATCGCCTCTTTTATTTGATGGAAAGATTAAAACCACCAAATGGGGAAACTGAATATCTCATAAGAGATATTAGGCAAGAAAAAATAAGATAATTATTTCTCAGTCAAAAAGCAGAAGCAGGATTTTCTACTTAAAGCATCTAAGTAGTTTTCAAGACAATACTGAGAAAGTAGTAACTTCCAAAATGGCAAAGTACTTCTAAAGCAGTTAGATATGTTCTGAGAGAGAGAAAAACATTTGCTGGGTCTTCTGACATTTAAGGATACTTACTAATCTAGGAATCAAGATCATAAAATCTGCATTTAGTATAATAAATAAAACCACCCTGCTTGATATTAAAAAAATACTAAGTTGAAGGGCAGAGGAAAAACTTTTATTTTCAAGGGTCAAATATATTTTAATACATTTAAGATAAACTACTAAAATACACATAGCCCCCAGCATGTAATTCTGACTCTTGCTGCGAGCACAGCAGAGACTGCCTGCCCTACAGCCGGCCACCTGGGTCAGTGTGAGCACTCCTGAGACAATCAGCAGTTAACTGCTGCATAAAAATCATAAGCCTTTGACCCTGATCAAGCCTTCAGGATGAAATATTCAAGTAGAATTATTTATGGTATCTAAGTACACACCAGTGCCTTTTTCTCCATAAACGTTTAGGGATTTTTCTTCCCCAGCCAGGCTAGCTTTGATCTGTTTGACTTGTTTTGCAGAACAAGTGCTAAGAGAACATATAAGAGACCCCTGGACATTAAAAACTGCCCCATTATGATTTTGGAAAGTAAAAAGTTACAAGGACAAAATACAAAGATAAAAGAGATTCTTAAATTAAGGAGCTAAAATCATATCTAGCTTTCTAAATACATGGTCTTTTTTCTCTGAGCCTTATCTGGCTCAGAAAATGCTGAACTTCCAAAAAATTCCCATTTTTGTCTGCTTTGAGCTCACTTCAGGATACCTTTTGAATTCTTCAGCCTGTTAATGTGACTTTCTGGTTTCAAGATGACAGTCACAAATACGTGAATACCAACATCTATCTATAAAAGTTCATCTTACTACTATAAACCAGAAAATTTATAGAACAGATTTGTACATACCAATACATCATCATCACATGTCCAATCGCTTGGATTAGAGTCAAGTTTACTGACGCACACTATAAATCTGTCTGGAAACACACGCAGGTCTATACAAAAAGAATTGAAAAGAAGATTACAAAAATTATAGCCATATTCAAAACCATACATATTTTCAACATATACAGATGCTATTTACAAACAGAATAATTGAGGTTTTAAAGTGCACACTAACCCACTTAATGCACTCCAGTAGTTTCTTACCTACTCTCTTCAGCATCTCATCCCTCCCTTTGCTTTGTTTTTTTAAACCATTACAAATAAAATATAGAAATCAGTAAGTCAGAGTAAGTTTAGTTCCCAAAAGGATGGTCATGGCTACAAATTACTCTACCTGCACCCCTGGCCAAATAGACCAGACAGAACCAACAGACAAAGCACTTAACTGATTTCTTTTGTGCTCTTCTGGAGATGAGTCCTTTCATTACAAAAGCTGTAAATTATGTTTCGAATACAGCACAACATATTCAGCCAGGATCTGGCATAAAACCTCAGTGTAAGGCTAAGTGCTTCAAACTCTGACTCCAGTGAGTTTTGAACTCATTAAACAAATTGGTTAACTGCAACTGAATTACAGATTTTACTCAAGATCACATGGTTTGTTTTGAAAACAACAAAGCTTCTGGTTACAAAGGATCAAAAATTGAAGGGCTCTCAGAACAGACAGACAAATCTTTATTTGGGACCTAGCAATGCTATGAAGAGAGCATAGCTGGGTATTTTGTTATTTTACAATTTGGATTATTTCCAGATTACTACCTTCATATTTTCAGCTCAGGGTTTTTTGCTGTTGGTTCTTGGTTTGATTTTACAAAAAGAGAGCTATTAATTTTTGAAGTTTGTTATATTTCAAAACCAAGCCATAATGCCCTATTTTCTGGGACAAGAAAGAGATGAGGCATACAGGAAAAAAAACATAAGGTTGACCTCATTTTTTGATGGAATATCTCCTCACAACAAATTGAGTATAGGCTTGATGTGCCAGTGATGATCAGGTGATCCATACAGGTGCCTGCCTCTCTACAAGGTATGCTTCTCCACCAAAAGCCTATGTCCATTAGTATCTGACAAACCCTTTTGAGTTTGTACCAGCAGTGACTTTTCTTGAGTCATTACAATGAAAGATGGGGATGCTGAAACATGCCACTGGCTGAAAAAACTTAAACAGAGGCCTGAAATGCATCCGTATGGCACAACAGCTTGTTAAGCTACTATAACTTGATGATGAACACGAGCCTTTCGTAATCCTTTCAGAAATATCAACTCCGTTAGCAAAACTGTGTCCAAGACTACTCTATCTCTGTTTATATCCTCAAGACCTGAAAGGCCACCTGCAGAGGTCTAGTACAACGGATTTCAAACTGCAAGTAGTCTATGGACATCCTCCAAATGGGCTACAAAAGAAAAGATGGAAACTGTTGCAAGGAGTAAACTTACGTCTGATTCCACTAACAGCCCCATAGGTAAGTTAAGTTTACTTTAGATACTGAGTGCGCATCACCAATTAAGTATGCAGGATTCTTTCATCAGGCTCAACATCTGGGTTTTGTTTGTGAAGGACTAGGTGTTATCTTACAGAAAGGAAACACTGGTGCCAATTTATTTATTTATAGGATATGTGCTTATTTTTCTACTTATTGGGAGCAAAACTCAGCAAAATAAAGTTCCTTTCCTGTTAGGAACTTCATATGGAAGCAAAGTTTTGACTGCAGCATCAGAGCATCTCTTTTTGGCAGCACGTGTAGGGCAAGCTCATTCCTGTTGGGCATTTTTATTGTTACATTTTATAACAATCATCTCGCTGGCTAAGAAAATGAAATGTCTTTGGGTATTCATTAGATTCGATTCGTAGGTTCAGAGAAGAAATTTGAGGAAACACTTTCAAATCACACTCAGTTCAGCCAGTAGGACTTAGAAAACAACTTGTTGGCATCTGAAGAGAGTTTTGAACATTTATGAATATAATGAATTCCTAGCTAGATAAATCAGAAATTCTTCTAAATATCTATTCGAGTATTCATTATTTTTAAGGGCACCTGATTTATTTTGCCTTTTTTTAATCAAAAGGTCAGCACACAGGGCAGTGATTGTTACAGGTCCTTTTTATTCCTGGTGGCAGGACAGGATTGATATCACTTCCTTACAGAGCATCCTGGCTTGAGAAAACATGAAGATCTGGTCCAATGACATCACCTGTGTAAAGGTTTTATAGCACTGAGGTGAATGAAAGCCTTTTCTTGCATACACTTGTATGGTACAGTTGATGTCACAAGACACTCGAGCAATAATGAAGTGATTCATACTGCAACCTCTGGTTGATTCACCCTGCAGAGACTCGGTAAAGTGCTGAGTCTCATCATACTTACAGAATTTGGTGTGGCTTAGCTGATCACCCTGGAGCAAGGCATACACAGATTTAAAATTAAGCTTGAAAAAAAAAAAAAGCCATCATATGTTAAAAATTTTTTTTTTTTTTTTTTGTAGGAAACATCCCCTGAAAAAAAAAATACATCAAAACCAAGCTCTGAAAGATATTTTGATTCAGGAGACCAAACTCTGACAAAGTATTAGTTTATGTTCCTTTTTTTCCTCTCATAAATGCAGAATTCTAAGTAGCACTATAAGAAACTGATTTCTTACCACGATAACGTTTCCCTACAGCACAACGGAGATTAACCCATCTCTTCATAAAGTAGGCAGTAATATGCAAACTGTTGGCTGCAACATAAAACAAAGGGATAATAATAAGTGTAAGGGTATCTTGGGCATTCTGGTCTCAAAGTGTTGCCCATCTGCAAAGGGAGGATTGAGAGAAAGCAGCAGCTCAAGAACACAAAAGAAAATGTAAGTTTAAAAGATAATGTTTAAAAGAAACTGCTCATCCTTAAGTATCAAGAAATTAGTATCTGAAACAAGGGAAATATTTTAAAACATTATTAACTACCAAGGTTCTGGTACCCAATCACAAAAATAAATTATCATCAATTAACTGATCAGTAAAGCCATCTCCTTAACAGACTAATGTCATGGTCACTAGTTCAATAGAGTCCTATTCACTATGAGGTTTTCATACATACTCTACATGAACACTACAGATGACCATTTACTAACTGACTTCTAGAGAATGGTGACATATTCAAACCTGATAGACAAAAGTCCGTTGTGTGTGTCCCCCCCCCCCCCCCCCAATGAAATATCTTAATTATCTACAATTCCACAGAATTGAGAGATGCATACATTTAAAATCCACGGTATCTACAAGTAGACAGAGCTAGCCTGGCTCATCCAGCAGAGACCTGAAACACAGAGGCTTCTTCAGTTTCTGTTGAGAACGATATGCGTAACATAAGAAAAGGACAGAAAGGGTTATATTACAGCAAAGAGACTATTAGGCTACAGCTAAAGGAAATCGGCTTTTACTTTTGTTCTACTTAAATTCCCAAACGACCCTAAGTAAATCAGTAAGGACTTAATTCATAAAGGTATTTAGCAACCTAACCCCCACTGAAACTCAAAGAAGTTAGCATGTGTGACTCCTCCTCCACAATCCTTCTGGATGCCTCACTAAAATGAATGTGCAGAAGAGGGTTAGTGGTATTTCCCCTAACTCTGATGGGTTTTGCAAGACTTAAATTATTTGTGCTTCCAAGACAATCAGATACCCTACATGCAATTACCACAGAAAAGTTAGAAAATTAAGTGCTACTGCTGTTCTTCTGATCCAACCGTTTAAAAAGAAGGAAAGTCTGTTTGTCCCAGCCTCAATTTCTACTTAGCTAGCGCCAAGGCATGCCTTATTTCTAAGTATAAGCCCCAAAATTCATGTCCTCTCCTGCACAGGCTACAAAACTCTTACAAGACCTCTTGAAGCTCACCATCAAGTGCTGTTCAGCATCACCCCTCATTAAGAACTACAGTTATTGATCACAAGAATCCCTTTGAAATTTATCAGCCATCTTTTTTTTTTCCCCTCAGGAAGACATCTAAACTTTGACTTCCCTTTCGAGATCAAGTCAAGATGTGACAAGTTGAACCATCCTTTAAAAATGATGAGCACTGGAGAAAAATTTGGATGTAATCCACAAGCTTTATTAACTGTATATTTACGAGCACAATTAAAGAAAATGACTTTTAGCTATTTCCTGTTTGGCATCCACGATTCTTTAACATTGTGAGTAGGATGAGCCAAATCAAAGAATACATAAATAAGTTATTAGTGTGATAATAGCATCTTCCACCGTGACCCTCAGCAATGCTGAAAAAGTAACATTGCTAAAAGTACAACTTCGCAAACAAATCTTCAAACATTATATACAAGGAGTAAATATTAGAAGTCTTTCAACCTCCATTTGGCTAGGATATTCTAAATGTGTTTTTCTTGCGAGGAACTTAAAATGAAAAAGTGAATCTTTTGGTTTTCAAGGAAAAAGCATCATAATTCATTCCTGAAATTCTTGTGTGTATCAGTGACAGGTATATCTTATTTATTTTTCTTGCTACCTTGGTATTCTCCGAGAGGTTGAGTGTTTAATCATACCTGATTGACTAAGGGCCTGAACAAAGTTTCAGATTCCTCTTAAAGCTCTTGACTCAGCTGGCTACTGTTCTCTGGAAAAGAACATCTACCTCAAATCTAACCAAATTCCTACTTATGAAAGAGATTGAGACACCTCTACACTGGTTTTGCAGCATCAGCTCAAGTCTGAAGTCTTATAAAGCCTTCCCAGGGAGCTGCACCTGAGCCAATAAGCTTGGCCCAGAGGGACTAACACTAGCTAGTTTCCATGGCTATTTATTACTTGACTTTGCTGGAAAAGCCTGAACAGATGATTTGCTGTTACTTACTGCTAACTGTGAGAAAGTTTTAAGATGCATTCAAGATACCAGTATCTTGAAAGTATCACACAGCAACGCTCATCAAATGTTATGAAAGCCTCTTGTATGTGACATCTGATCTAAACCACAGTCAGCTGGAGCTTGCAGAACTTCCCTAAAGTCGCCAGAGTTACTGCAGAACTATAAAAACTGTGATATCCTCTTTCTGCTTCCTTCGAGAGAAATATATGATCTGATTAACCATTCTGCTTCATGAAATAAGAAACTAAAAAATAAACCCCACAAAAAAAACTTCTTATCTGAAAACCTCATGCAACTTGCAGCTTTTTGAACTTTCTACACAGTTACTCAGCATGAGTCTAAGTCTGCTCTCAGTTCCAGACTTGTCCACCATCAATGCTGTTTATATACCAGCATATACTAATGTTGGCTTTGGGCAAGCTGTGGATTATGCTCCAGGGAAGACAGCCACTGTATACTCAGCAAGGAGCAAAAGCTGCTGCTCATGATACCTGGAAGAAGAGACCAGCTGATACGCACTAAATGATCCATCACGAACTCCTTTTAAGCACAACACAGAAGTTTTAACCTTAAGCTACATACAGTGTTTTGCAGTCAGTAATGTAGTAAGAAAGTTCACAGACTGTAGGCTCAGCAAACCCAGATGGCCCAATCTTCAGTTTTCTTTTCATCATTCAATATAGATTACCAACACAGAAACAAAACTGGTGATAGTGATTGGAGTTCTGTTTTTCTTACTTCAAAACTGTGCACCTAGATCACTAGATCCAGGTTCCAAAAACCAAACAAGAATAAAACAGAACATCAAGACAACAAAAAACCTCCAAACCCAACAAAATAGAGCTTGAAACCAAACATGTGACTGACTCAAAATGATTCTAGAAAAGCCAGATTTCAGTTTCAATGAGCGATGCCTTTTAAGGGAATGGTAATTTGCCCTGCCTGTTATATTTCATAGTCCCACGACACCGACAGGAAGTATCAGACACTGACTCTTTACTGTAAGACTATCCAGCAACACTTGTTTTCCAAAGCAGTCAGAAGCCAAGCTGATTTGTGCTTCCAGAAGGCTGCCAAGAAGAGGCTGTGGTACAGTGTGGAGCAATGGGAAGCCCTCTCCCACGGCTATTAGGGACCATTCATCTGGGAGCCTGGGAAAATGCCTCTGAGGTGCTGAGTTATCTGGAGCAGCCTGGCAGGTGCTCCCTTCCCAGCACAATCTGGCACCTGCGTGGCTCTGCAACTCAATTCAGGCTTCTCCAAAGCCATAGTATGAGCTTAAGAAGGCCGACTGCCCCACAAACATTTCCATATCTGACAGGCACCTATTTCTCATCACTCAGTATTTTTAGATCATCTTTTAAAAAACACCTATTTTTTTCCCTCCTGGCCCAGACATTTCACATTTAGGACAGGTTGTTCTGGATTAGGCCTCTCTGTATGCTTGGAAACTAACAACAAAGTAAATCATTGCAACATAAAGATATTAAAAAAAAAAAAAATAGGAGGATGAATTCCTTATGTTACAATGTGAAACTTAAATACATAGGTGCATTAAACTTCTGAAACACTATACTGTACATTAAAAAAAGAAATCTACATTTTATTTATGCTAGATTAATTATTCCACACAGATTAAGCTGTGCTAGTAATAATGTTTACAGTATATAGAGCTTTTCATCTTCAAAGTGCTCTACAGACATATTATTACACTGCTTTTTACCAGTCATATTTCTCCACTTAGAATTATTCACTACTAAATCCAAATTCCTGATCGTTTGTAAACAAAACCCAAAAGGAACATTTTATTCCAAACCTCCTGCTAATGGTGCAGCTTTCCTTTCCCAAAACAAATGTTCATGTGCTCCAGAGTAGGCTGCCATCGCTAACTTAGGGGAGATTCAAACCAAATGCTGACATGAAAGTTTAGGTCCAAGTCAAGGATACACCAGCAGGGACAGCAGATACAGAAAGCTGTCAATGCTCCCTGAGCTTTTTCAGTGTTCAGAATGGGTACAGAATTTCTGTGTCAACTCAGAATGTCCTTGCCCCCCCCCCCCCCCCGAAAGTAAACTGTGTAGTTAATGACGAGAATCTCCATCCAGTGCAAGTTGTTACACCCCAAACAGCAGGGTTCGGAACAACTTCACCAGCTCAGGATGACATCCATTCTTTTCCATTCTTTCCATCCCTTCTGCCTTCAGTTCAAAGAACTGTTAAATTATTTTTTAACATTTTCATTATTTCAAGCGCTAATCACAAGCAAGTACACAGGAAAACATAAAATAAAGCCTAGAGAAAACAACAACAAAAGTTTAGTAACTAAGATAAACAGTCAGGCCACTAAATTTATATACATCAAGTATGGACTGAACAAAAAAAGGGTCTAGTATTGAGTGAGTGGGTATTGCTGCAGGGTTTGATCTTGCAAACTCTTATACCTGAAAATAAATTCAGTGATGTAATTTGCCTCTGTCTTTTCCCAAGTGCCCTTCAGTCAGCTTAAACCAAGTATAGACAAAACCAGACTGCAGACTTTTTTCACCACCTTCTTTCATAATTTTATTAGTACTAGTGCTATTTTTCTACCTGCTAAATGTTCTGAACACAGGACAGTTGCCAAGACAAATAAGTGAGAGATCTGTCCCATCAAGGACCTGGGGACAAGATTTAGTTCCTCTCAGGGAGCAGGGGCTCTAACTGGAAAAAAGACATTACCCTTTTAATGAATCTGATCAAGACAAGGATGAGATACACCTAGCAGAATCCTCTCTGCTATCAGAACCCTGATAGCTGGCTTTTGCACACTGTCTAAACCCTTTACAATACAAGCTGTTGACAGTGAAACTGGACTGAGCCGT